GTATCACCATTCGGCGATTTTCATTACCATGGTCTGTACAACATAACCCAAGAGCTAGGTGTTGGTCCCCAAAAAAAAGGATGCAACATTTTGAAGAAAATATAGCTATTGTTGTTGTTGTTGAAATTATTATTGTCCTCTCTTGTGTCTTCTTTACGAATGGTTAAGAAAATATAATTAAAAATAATAATAAAATCTAATAGGCCTCAACAATTTTCTTTCTAAATGTAAATGACAAAGTATATTACTAGTAGCAGCCACTTCCGAGACATTGGAGATTATACCCTGGGTACCATGACCCTTAAAACTCGGTATCAGAAAGTCAATGTAAGAAAACCTAGAAATCTAAGGTTGGTTTCACTACTCCACAAGAGGCTAAGCTCATAAAGAATAAGTTGGCTGCTAAAAAGTTGGTCTGCCCGAAATCAACAAATCCTCACTCCTCAACTTTAAAGAAAAAAAGCACACCGTGAAACTATTGGTACCACTAGCTTAGGAACGGTTTTCCTAAAGTGGTGCAGATACTTAAAACAATTTTCAAAATAACCATTGCTTCTCTTGCATTTCTCTTTTGCTAAAATTTATACATAACCGGATTGAATGTGTGTGAACACAGGATTAGGGGCGGAGCCACATGGGGCCCAGGGGGGATGAAGGCCCCCTGAAATTTTGAAAATAAATAAATTTGTATAGTGTTCATAGAGGTATAGCCTGGGACGGGCAGATCTGGGGAGGATGGGGGCTCTAGCCCCCCTAAACTCTTGAAATAAAATTTTTTCTTTATAAATAGAGGTGATGACCTATGAACTTGGCGTTCAAAAAAAAAAAAATTGGGGACTACGCCCCCGAATCCCCATTGTTAGCCCCCTCTGCCAGAGAATCCTGGCTCCGCCCATGCACAGGATACCAGGTAAAGTGGTTTCAAGCACTTAACAACAAGTAGAATAGTAGAACCCTTCCTCCAAAACCTCAACTGGTCCAATGTAATCTATAATATTCTTGTGGAGGTAACATAAGAAGTCAAAAGTAAGCCCTTGTCCTAAACAAGATTCCGAAAAGCTGAGAATATATGCAAGAACAAAGCTAAATGCATCGTGATTGGATCCATAGCAGATATATGAAGAGAAATAGGGTACTCATGAAAGGGAACAAAACAACATGGCGGTTGCTCTACCAGAAATGGTATCACTGCAATCACATAGTCAACGAAAATGCACAAATAGGCGAGTAAACTCTTAAAACACATTTCAAGCCATACTACAACGTCGCCTAGAACTAATCCAGTCAAGCAAACAATAGATGCATAAGATAAGAATGGAGTATCCAATCATACATAACCCGACCATGATTTGATATTCTGATATTGTGCCAGTCTTTTAGATTACTGTAAGAGTTTCTACACATCCTTGAAGGAGTATGAGCATTACAGAATTGCGCATCAGTACCTACTATTCAAAGGGTTTTCCAAATTTATTATGGGCACTCAGATATATCTATCAAAGCTGAATCATATCATCATGAAGAAGCTAGAGAATAGATTCTTCTTTTTTCAACATCATCAGATGCCCAAATCAAACAATTGGGGCAATTCAAATAGTTTAAAATCAATACAACACTTCCGAATTCAACGACCTAGATTATAAATATATATATGTTAAAATCATCAAATTGAGTATCTACAAACCCAAATTGAAGTAATTAAAGTAAGAAAGAATCAGGAAAAGGTGGTGAATACCTTCTCGTCGCAGGATCGGCAGAGAGCAGCCTCGTCTGCGGCACAGAAAAGAATGGCGGCATCGCCCTCGCAAACGTCGCAAAGTGTACGCATAATTCCGTCCCTTATCTCAATTTCTCCTTTCTCCGCTTCGGCATCGTCGACGAACCCAGAAAAAAGGAGGAGTTGCTGCTCAAAAGAAGAAATCAAAACAAAGTGTAGGGTTTTTCTTTTTATCTATTTTTTCCAACTTCCAGCTATAAGAATAATATTTGGATGGAGGTGGTGCAGTTGGGTAGGTGGTGTTTGGTTGCAGAGGAGGAATATAGAAGGGGAAGGGTGGGGTCCTTTGGAGATTGAAGGTGTGGTTTATTGTATTTGTCACCACAAAAGACTCAAGAGCAAAAGGGGTGTTTGGATTGTGAGGAAGAAATGTCTGGTATTTTTACCCTCCCATATAAGGCAATGAGATACTCTCGTCTTACGAGAGTGTCACTCATCGCTTCTTAGCCACAGGCTTAGGGATTTTTTTTTTTTTTTTTCGGTGAAAGTTCAATCAACAGATACACACAAGTCACACACCCAGACCGTGTCTCAACCGAACCACAACCACAAACAGTGGGGATGAAAACGTCTTCTACTCTCTTCTCACCCATTAATTCCATATCTAACCTGGCCCTACTACTTTCAGTCATACTCTCTCTCTCTCTCTCTCTCTCAACCGTCAACAACGCATCCCTTACTTTCTCTCTCCTCTTCTCTATTTTCATCCACTAGTTTCATATATCTGACCTGTTGCAACATATATTTAAGTAGTGACTCTCTCTAGAAAGTAGAAACTACCTGTCCCCAACTCATTTGGCATTATACTTTTTCTTCCTTAAATCTTTTTGATTGGCTTCAGCGTTTAGAATTTGTATGCAATTCGATATTTCAATATGGATTTGCCAGCCCTAATCGCAAATCTTCCAAAGATCCAATTGGGTGGCTACAAATGTTAAAAACACTCTGCATTTTACTTTATTAAAGTGTAAAGATATCCACGTGTTAGGCACATCTTGTGTCTGGAAAATTTTGAAGAAAATGTGACTGGGCTAGCACTCCTTTTTCAATATAGGAGTTTGCTTCTGGAGTTGAATCTTATCAGCCAGACTTTAATTGATTAAAGTTCTCATTGCAGCTGAATATCCACTTTTTTTGGTTGAAATGATATCGTGTAACTTACACACTCTCTATACTAACACACTCTCTAAACACATACAGACATAAGGTAGCAGCTAAGTTACCATAAGGATAAGTCCCACTCCAAAAGGGCTTGGCTTAAGGAGGGTTGGTGGCCCCTTTTGCACCCCTGTGAAGTCCACTTTCCAACCCATGTAGGATTAAACCCAAGATACACGTTAATGCACGTTGTAACAAACCTAAATTGATATTTTTGGTTGAAGTGATATCATGTAACTAACACATTCTCTAAACACACACAGCCATACCTAAGGTAGCTGCTAAAGTACCATAAGGATAAAACAACCATTCCAAAAGGGTTTGTCTTAAGGAGGGTTGATGGCCCTTATACACAACCATGCAAAGTTGACTTCCTAATCAATGTGAGACTAAACACGGGATACACCCACTCAACTAAATCTGTCTCAAATAGACAAGAACTTTCAAACGAGCTCTGAGATCATGGAGGAATAGTATTTTATTGCATTACATATGAAATAACTTGTCATAAGTCACTACCAAAAAAAAAACTTGTCATAATTGAATCTGAATCAACTACAACAAATAATCAAATACCAGTTGGCCAAGTCCAAATCAGTGAACATGACACCATCCAACACCATATACCGTGATGAGCATGAGCTTCATCACTAGAGTAGGTGACGTCATGTTCTCTTATTAGCGGAATGACATTATAATTTTCAATAATAATAATAAAAACAATGAATTTGGTAAATATAGGAAATATAGCCTATTACAAACTACTGGTCAACCTGGCCCAATGCCTTTGGGCCCGCTCTTATGAGCTCAGTCTTAGACATTTCTTATGAACAAGAGGGTCATTCGTGGGCCTAAGTTTAGGCCACAGAAAGTAAGTAGCATGGTATTGGGCAACTGGTCGTGCTTGAGCATGGTTCTTAGGCACATATAGGTGGCGTTTGGATCAGATTTTATTAATCAAAATCAATTGTGATAACAATTGATTGTGTATAAATTAATTGTTAAATAATCAATTTTACAAATAATAGTGTTAGGGGAATACGAAGTTGAGAGCCAAGTGAATGATATTTGGATTCAACATTAACGAAAATGCACAACAGGCCATATCTAGTAATCTCAAGGAATTAGGGGTAGAGGTGTGAGATGAGAAAAAAAAGAGGGCAGAGCGAGTCAGTTTTATAAACATAACCGACATTATTGTTGAAAATTTGTTGACAGACTGGGCTGAGTCTTGAATCTAAGCTTAGATTACAATACAAACAAATGCCAAAACAAAAAACTTGAGAAGTTACTTTTGATCCACATTACTACAATTTAGGGCTGTCAATGAGCCGCGTGAGCCAGCTTGATTCATTTCTAAATGAGCCGAGCTTGAGTTGGGTATTTGAGCTTGTTGGGCTGAGCCGAACTAAATAATTGAGTTCTTGTTTGTTAATCAAGCCGAACACAAGCAACGAGCGAGCTCAATTAATTATACTGTTCTAGCTATGATATCCTAATAATATTAGTTTCAAACTTAAATATAAAATTGTTATTAAGGTAAAACTTAAATGGTAATTTCACTATTTCAAAATTTATAAATTTTTTTATACCATGTTTCTCTCCTTAGACTCACGAGAATGACTAAATTCAACTCTTAAGTTATTTTTTTAGGGAGAATCTGACGAGCATGTTCAACTCTTACAATTTTGATTTGATTTTTTTTGTTAAAATTAGGGTAACCAAGCCTAAAATAATAGGGCAAGCTGGCTCGAGCTCGATTATCTATAGACAAGACGAGCTCAAGCTTGCATTCGAGAGCTTGAATTGAGCTCAAGATGAGCTTGAGCCAACATATATATATGTCACGAGCCGAGCTCGAACAATACTTAGCTCGACTCATTTACACCCCTAATCGACATAGTCAAACCCCCTGTTTGTTTAACAAGAAAATAAGTATATAAAAAAAGAGGGAAACAAATTTAGTTTCCCTAATGCAAGTCTTACTTCAAACTTTCAATTTTATTTTCTCTTAGTTGTTGGGGATCAAAGTGACAGGCGGGAACTCTACTACAACTTTAATTCATGCACCAACCGGGAATCGAACCGGGGTCTCTACCACCGTGGCAGGGTACTATTCTACCACTAAACCGCTGGTGCAGTCATGGTTTGCTGTATTTGGTAAGAAACTAAGGATACATTGCTATTACTGCATGCAGCATAACATGAAATAACTGCTATAATACTTGCTAGCCGAATGTGTAGATAATGCCATGAACATATGATTCTAGGCCCACTTCTAAACCCTGGCCTGCGTGGCCTACACACCAAAAGGACCAGGTTCAGGGGATAAAGTTTGCTACTCAAATCTATCTCTTTGTAGGCCTTATCTAGAAGCCCATGGTACCATTGTGGCCCATCAATTGCCCCGTTATGGCGTGGCATGCATGATGTAGAGCCAGGTCTGGCCTTGTTTCCTATTTGGCTGCCCGGGGTTTAACTTGAGTTGGAGATGGATCTCACTTCAGCTCTAGCTAGTAAAAGAAAGGGCTAGGGCACGGATAAAACTGCATCCAAACATACCCTATACTCGGTTACCATCCTAGCTACTTTAGGGGCAGGTTTGCCTAAACTATTTTCAATAATAATGTAAATAAAAGTTAATTATCAAAGCATACAGAAGAAATCTAGACTTGCATCATCTTACAATATCATGTACCTGTTCCACTAATAGACAGTGATTAAACTAATCGACGATTACCCAACTTTTATATGGATACGCATGTCTGTTTCGAACAAGCGCGAATGGTACCAAACTATAAGCGACATTAGCAAACCTAATACACATTAGCAGAACCTAATATTATATATGTGTGTGTGTTTTCTAAGACCATCTCAAATGTATATATTGTATCTAACCAATAATTGTTGATGTTCACGTCTTGATTTCTATCCCTTAGTCGTGGCATGGCCGATCATTTGGCTTCAGTTCTGTGAATCTATGTTGTATTTCAATTAGGTCGCATAAGTAATGGAACAGCCAAACAACTTGCAACAATGCATTATAAGAATTATTTTTTGTTTTTTAAAGTTCTGAATCATATATTATATAAAGTATCTTTTGTACTTGTAATTTTTGCTCACGATGAACCCACGTAGATCTTGTGTATAAAAACTTCAACCTGCAAGCTGATACGAAGTACCTTTTGTACTTGTAATTTTCGCAGCTGGCGATGAATCCATGCAGATCTTGTGTATTTTCACGTTGTCATTAAACCCAAATAAGGATCTTAGTACAACAGTAGTAATCACAACACTTTGTACTGGCTTCATAACACCCAAAGTCAGGGTGTTACTCTCACTCTTTAGTCCGGCATTGTTTGTGTACCGACTTTGCAAGGGGTGTATAAGGGCTATGCATCAACCCTCCATTAGTCAGGTCCTTTTGGAGTGGTTGCTTGGACTTCCCTTATGCACCTTAGCGGTTGCCTCTGATTGTGTGTTACCTTCTACCAAAAAATAAAAATAAAAATACAACGCTTTGTAGATCATACAAATGATACCCTGGAGGTATGTCTTAAGAGCAAAAGTGGCAATAAAAATGCTCCTCCACCAATTTGTATTTCCTTGTTATTTCTCGGTTCAAAAGTTCAATGCACACGGAAGTAAGATGCAATGAGTGACGCATGGGGAGCTCTATGATGGTTTGCATTCATTCCTACTTTTCTGTACCTGTCTTCTCTTGTTTGTCTCCCAACTTTTTTTTATTTCACTTGGATTGTGTCTGGTTGTTTGCCGGCCTCAAACTTGTCCCATTAATTATACTTAACAAACCTTACTACCAAGCATTAATGCTAATTGATAATATTTTAGAAAATAAAAACTGTTTAGCTCGTACGGATGAAAAGACGAATTGTATTTTATAATAGAGATTAACTATGAAAAGGAGCTCCAATTGATGAGATAACTAGAAGCAACCCAACATATGCATTTTGGCAGGCGTATTTTGGGAATTAAGTATATAAAGAAAGGTTATTTCTGTCATTTTTTTTTGTAATTCTTGAAATACCCTTGTCAAGGCACATTTTGGATTGCTCTAATTATCTCTACCATCGGAGATCTTGGATATAGTTAATTTCTTTATAATAATAGACCCGTGATTCGCTCAGGTTGTAATGAGACTCAAGGCATGATATTTTTGTCAACATTTTTTTTTTTTTTTGTAATTTCCAAAATACTCTTATCAAAGGCCTTTTAGGGTTATTCCATTTAACACTTCAACCAGAGCTCCTGTTCATGGTTAATCTCTATTTTAGAATGTTTTGAAAATCTGGGTGACTTTTTTTTTTTCTTTTTTTTTTTAAACTGTATTACTTATATGATATGAGTCATGGATTTAGGGTTCTAAGATAAAGCCCTGAATTTAGGAGGGATTATAGGGTTTCAATATCAGATTAATAGGTAAAGTCAAATGAGAATCTTCCATTTCTATCTTTGTCATCAATTAAGCTACTCGATTTAAGTGGGGTGATGGTTGTTCAATGTTCATGATCAAAGTTGAAAATTGAAGTCAACAATCTAACAAGGAAGCTATCATAACTAGCCAAGAAAATGTGTAGTAGGGTTATTGACTTAATTGTTGAATAATGACACTTTGCTTGGTAATATAGGAATGATCATAGGGTTAAATACTAAAGCTCGCCGTGTTTCCTACGAGTAGGACTTGGCAGCAATGCCTACTCCCTCGGGCTGCAAATCATCACACTCTAATGGGTGTTTCACGTTTGCATCCCAGTGCTGCAATGGGCATTTTTTAGTAGGTCATCCTAAATCATTTATCTAGCTAAGTTAGGAGTTGGGGACTCATGGTAGGCGCTCAACAGCCACAAGACTCGAACTCGAGTCACAGCTCACTCAAGTCCACAATGTACTTTACTTTTTAGGTACTAGGCATCATTTATAGGTTAGTTGTTGTGTACCACTAATTATAGGAGATTTTCTTTATGAGACTCGATCTTAGGACCTACATAACCGAGAGGCAGCTGTATAAAATACGCCTTTGAGACTTTTTTTTATAACCCCGATCTAGGCTTATATTCTGTCATTACATGACATGCATGATGCATGAGCTAATAATTAGGGTGCTGATTTTGTATAATATATAAACACAACTCTGGTGAAAATTACCTCTCTCTCTCTAATGTTCGATAGAATTATTCTTATTTTATTTTTATAATTCTTAGTTTTAACGGCAAAAAAAGTAGGTGGATAAGTGTGAACACACATTGGTTACTGAGAGAAAGTGAGGAGAAGAGAAACTGAGGTAGCATTCTCCTTATTCTTATAGTAAAACTCAATATATTATATAATATAATAACAAGAATATGTGTTTAAAAAAACTTCACCAAAAAAAGCCAACGAGCTAACTATGTGTATGTGTAGACCCTTTAGTCTCATATCTAGGGCCGGCCCATCCATTAGGCCATAAAAGCCTTTGCTTTAGGCTCTATTAAAAATAATAATATTAAAAAGGCCCCATTTAGAATATTAAAAATAATAAAAGGCTATTTAGAATATTAAAAAGGCCTCATTTATAGTTAATTTTTTTTTTAATAATATTAAAAAAAAATTTAAAAAAAGCTCCATTTAGAATTTTCGCTTTAAGCCTCTAAATGACTTGGCGCCCTGCTCATATCGTGTACCAATGAGAGGGTTGGTCTCCTTAAGTACTCCCACCATGCTTTTCTTTTTGAGAGGTGTGTGTGGTTGTGGCTTAGGTCGAGACTTGGTGTGTGTGTTTAAAAAAACTTCACCACAAAAAATAGTAACACTAATACGCTCGTTGAGGGTACAGACGTTTTGTCCTGAGTCCTAACACAACCTAGCTATTTTGCATTATATCATAACTAAGTCAGTCTCATAAACAAAACCTTAGTAGAATCTTAAAATTCGGACAAGTACCTTAGCTCCTTTTGTTTTGTATTTTTAAATACACTTTTGTATTCCATTTCCTTTGCACATGGCATGGCACATGCATTCCAGATAATGAGATGGTAAAATGTCAAGAATCTATATTTTAACCAATCAACTGTCCATCAAAAGTAATTAAAAAAAGAGATTTATTTTCATGCAGAGCACTGCACGGTGCGGAGCTCCGCTTGATATTTAAACACTTAAAAAAAAAACCAGGCGACTTATCTGATCAGCATTTGGAGTATACAACTTGTTTGGGATCATGAGTTGTGGTATGGCCGCTAATATGTTCACCGTTTCGTCCCGCTTCAAATGGTATTCTCTCCAAGCCACTAACCATAAACACAGCAGTAACCAGGGCATGAAAAAAAAATGTTAGAGGGCTCTTTTGCCTATTTTCTTCTATCAAAGTGGTCCCCATTTTATTTTACTTTAATAACCGTAGGGTGCCCGTAGCTCAAGACTCCAATTAATCCCCACAGGTTGCCCAACAAGACCCCACCTCAAGCAACACGATACGCAAGTGCATCTAGAGTCGATCATAGAACCTCCAGGTCTACGGTTCATCCTATGACCAGTGGGCTACACCCACGGGGGTAAAGCGGTCCCATTTAGGTTCCACAGCTTTCGTCGGGCCCACCATACTTATGGCCAACGGAAGAAAAATGACGAAACCGATATGGGTGCTCATCAATCCTCTCTTCTAATATACTCTCTCTCACAAGGTTTGGTGTTAGGTGAGAAGATGACATACACCAAACCTTATATACGGAAATGAAAGCTTTTGATTAGTTACATTTATCTTTTGGTTGTCTAGAAAATAAGTAAAAACATAAAAAAGAAAAAAAAATTAGATAAAACACAACTAAAATTTGTATTAAAGATCTAATTTTTTTTTTTGCTTTTTTCCATATTTTCTCGACAAACAAACATAGCATTAATTTAAAACACGCTTTATTTGGAGATAATGTGCTTACACGCATGTATCTATCTCATCTCAGAGTATAGAGTAATGCTAGCTTCATTTTCCTCCTTATCTACTTTTGCTTTTACAGATAAAAAATTAAAAAAATATAACATTTTGTTTTTAAGGTCCATCACATTTTTTGTCTACTTTGTCTAAAAAACAGTAAGTGGATGAGGAGATAAGTGAACGTAGCATAGCTCATCTATCTATATGTGACTTT